ATGTATTAATATTATTCATCTTCTTGAATACACCACGTGGTAAAGTGCAAATCCACAATTTAAACTTGAGATTTCTACTCCTATGTGAACTAGTGAGGAACAAAAAAAATTTCTATTGGTCGGGAGATGATGCTTGACAGTGGTCAGTTTGTGAAGAGGAGGCTTATATCACAGTATTTTTAACAGTGTTACATATGAAAATGGTGAATGGCCTCACACGCAGAAGAATCAGCGTTTCTCATGAGCCATACTACCACCAGAAAGAATTGAATTGAAGCCTGTGACTATCTGATGAAGGGTGTATAAAGAGGAGGGAAAGAAAAAGAACACAAAACACAATATGGCAAATGGAAAGGAGAAAGTCATTACACAGCCTATAAGAGTAAAATAATTAAAGAGAGGATATTATGAGTAGTTTTTGATAACTAACTTGACAAAAGTGGTGCAGGGCAGGTTCTTGGCCTCACTCAGGAAGGAGCGCGGCGTAAGCGGGTGGTGGAAGGAAACGGCTTTACTGAGGTGGCGGTTACAGCTCTGTGACTGCTCTTGTGGAGCGGAGCTCCCCACAGGCAGTTTGCCAGGAGTAGCAGCACAGGGGCAGTTTTACAGTCGTATTTATCCCCTCTTTTAATGACATGCTAGTTAAGGCGTGGGTTATTCAGAAGTAGCTAGAAGATGGACATTAACTTTCAGGTGTTGCCATGGCAATGGTAAACTGATATGGCCCTGGAGGGCATGTCTTATGGACAGGTGCTTCCAGTGTCTCTTTCTTGTGTCACCCAGCCTTCAATCTGGTCTCGAGTTGAGTCCCATCTACCTCCTACCTCATTGCCCCTCAGAGATTAGATACTCCTCCTTCATCTTAAGGGGACTGCAGAAGAGCAGAGTCCATTTTCTATAAGTGCTTCCTGCTGACTTAATGGGTGCAGGCCTTCCCTAGCATTTGAGGAGTAAACATCTTTGGTACCTGAACTAAGGGACCCAAAGGCAGGATGCTTTCATTTGTGGGGTCAGAAGACAGAATGGATTGGAAGATTTTGACAGACCATATCATCTTTACATGAAATTTAAAAAGTTAGAAGATATGAACTTTACTAGGAGATTAAACAAGATAATTATAATTGGAAGGGAGAGAAAAATTAATGCTCCTACGTCCACCCACAGAACCACGTTATTAATCTATGTGTTTGCAAAACAACAGCCTTAAATTTTCTAGGTTTTATAAATGGAGGTTGTGATGTCCACCTTTTGTGCCTGCAGGATCTCATAAGAAACAGGTTTAATCCTGGACAGCTGTACCCAACTAGTGACTTCCTGAAGCCTAACAGTAGTTAGAGTAATTCAGAATATCTGATAAGGGCCCCTTTATTCTGGTTATTATTGATTCTTGGGGGAACACTTCGCTGTTGTTTTTTGAGAGAGAGTCTCGCTCTGTTGCCCAGGCTGGAGTGCAGTGACACAATCTCGGCTGGGCTCACTGCAACCTCTGCCTCCTGGTTTCAAGCTATTTTCCTGCCTCAGCCTCCTGAGTGGCTGGGAGTACAGGCGTGTACCTAGATGACCAGGTAATTTTTTGTAATTTTAGTAGAGATGTGGTTTTTCTATGTTGGCAAGGCTGGTTTTGAACTCCCGGCCTCAGGTGATCCACCCACCTCAGCCTCTCAAAGTGTTGAGATTACAGGCGTGAGCCATTGCACCCAGCCATTTCCTTCTTTTTAAGTTTTTAGTAAGATTTAGTCTTCTGGTTAAACAGAAGAGCTACTATTTTCTTTTGTGTGAAGGGGCACTATTTTATTTTCATAATTTTAAAAGGTCTTTTGAATCTGGCCTACATTTCAAATAGGGGTTGAGCAAGGTGTGTCTGACTCCCTGTTTCCCACATGGCCTTAATTAGATT